AGTACAGGAGCTACAACTTATATACTATCAAAGGACTGAGAGCTTGTAAGGAGTAACTCATAATGTAGGTACGGAGTTCCATGCACACAACTATCTAGCAAGGGGAAATCATATGTGGGAGGAGTGTACCATAAGGTCTAAAACTACAGACTCCATGAGGAATATGAAAATGTGCAGAGAAAATGTATGGCGGACTAGAAGTCTGGTGCAGGAGTATCAGAGTGGATGTCTGGAGTGCTATGTGGAGGTGGGGTACAGGGTTATGCCAAACAACAGAATATGAGGAGCGTAATCCTGAGAGTACCAAAAGATTCGGGGGGGTTCGGACTTGAGAAATATCCTCTTTGGAATTCTGGAGTTATGCCTTCTGGCATGTATCTGACAATACCCATATGTAAACTAGAATAGAACAAAGTATGGAAAGGAAAGGAATGTAAAGGAAAGAACATTATAAGTATAAACAAAGGAAACCAGTCTGTTCTATGCTGTTTAATACCCCTAAGCATCAGAGGATTGTCTAGGTTCAACCTAGTTACCATATATAGAAGGGGACACATCAATGTACCATTGTTATTTCAACACCAGCTTTAATAGCAGGATTTTAGCTGAGAAGAAAGATGTAAAAAAAGAAAAAAATCAAGTTTCTATATGAGGTCTTACTTGTAACAACCAAGAGTTAGTTACTCTGGCGCACACTAAGACACACTATAAAGGTAGTGATGAGGGAGTGGTTACCCCTTAGGCTGCAGTGAGTTGGTTGGTATACAACAGGAGGACTCGCTGAGGAGTCTCCTTGATCTATTGGGGTATTTATACTAATACAGAGTGTTTGTACTTATATACTGTACAGTTGATAAAAGCAGTGGCTTGATGATGTCAGAGGGCGCAGCCCGTGTGACCAACTCCACTGCATGAGAGATGTGTAGCTAAAATAAGAAGAAAGGCAATGCGGCGTGAGAAAGAGGAGTTTGAACAAAAGGGAAAGTGCCGCATGGCACCGTGTGTGAAAACTATAGTAAAAGGTTAAAGGGGAGAATAAAATTTAAAGGTCCAAAAATGTGTTATCGTAACACTACCCCCCCTCTAAGGCTTGACTTCCAGGCGAGACCAAATACCGGAGGTAGTAGTTGAATTTTTGGGCATAGGTTGAAAAAGGGAATTAAAAAGTTTTGAATCCATGCCTCTAAGCTTCCTAGGAGCCAAGGGATTCTTAGAATAAAATTTGCAAACAGCGTTGCAGGAATTGTCCAGATGGGCTTCTGGTTCCCACATTCTGTCCTGATCTCCCATAGGACTAGGAATTCTAAATTTCCACGCTTCAAGCATGCATCCACCACCCGTTCAACTTCAAATTCTTCTTCACCTTCCTGGGTGACTATAACCGGTCCGGTCCGGGCCGGTCTATGCGCTGTCCCGGCAGCGGCCCTTTGTAGCGTTTCACACGGCTAATATTGACCGTGGGTACTACCCTCATTCGTTTTGGGAGTTCTAGCTCCACTGCAATGGGTTTGACTTCCTTAATTTGGTAAGGGCTAATCCACTTTTTGGTCAGTTTTCTAGACTGCCAATCTTTTAACTTTAAGTGGTCGGTATCTAACCAGACCAGATTGCCGACCTTGTAGTCAGGGGCCTTAGAACGTCTACGCTCCGCCCTGTCTTTCATCTGCTCTGCAGTTTTAAATAGCACCTTGCGCGTTTCGTCCAAGACAGATTTCATGTCCTCGGCCATGTTCCCAGCAGCCTCGTTTTTGCTCTTGCCAGGTTCTACACCCATTCTAGGGAGGTATGATCTAGTGACCTCAAATGGTGCTTTTCCTGTAGCCAATGACTGTTTGATATTATAAGAGAACTGGGCTATTTTTAGCCACTTGGCCCAATCTGTCTGCCTATCATTAATAAATATCCGAAGGTACTGCTTCAATTCCTGGTTGAGTCTCTCCGTTTGTCCATCAGTCTGCGGATAGAACACCGTTGATAACTTATGTTTGATGCCCAGCATCCGACATAGTTCTTTCGTAAATTCGCTAGCAAATTGTGGTCTTCTATCGGAGATAACCGTTTCTGGTAATCCATGGATAGACCATACAAAGTCTTTAAATAAATCTGCTGTACCGGCGGCGGTAATGGTTTTATTGGTAGGTATGAATACTACTTCTTTGGAGAAGCGATCGACTACCACCATTACTGAATCATACCCATTTGACTCGGGCAGATCCGTCGTGAAATTAACTGATATATCCTGCCAAGGACCAGCTGGTATCAGATTTGGCATAAGTTTACCGGCTGGCAGCTGATGAGAATTCTTTGCCATGGCGCATCTCAGACAGGATTTTACATATTCCTGTACATTTTTGACCATGCCAGGCCACATGTAGTTTCTGGAGATCAACTCCATCGTTCGTTGCCACCCAGGGTGCCCAGCCACTGGAGTGTCATGATGTCTATCTATTGCCTTAATCCTTACAGATTCAGGCACACAGATTTTGTCCTTAAAATGAAAGAGCCCGTCTTTCCATAAATAGTTTTCATTGCCATCAAGGCGTGCCTTCTCTTCTGAGGAGATATCTTTCCTGAAGACTTCCAGGAGATCGGAATCTTGTCCTATTCTAACATTGGCAACCCTTGATTGATCTATCAAGGTAACACCTTTGTTATCATCTTCAATGCCGTTGGCATGATCCTCTCTTCTGGATAAAGTGTCTGCTTTCCCCATAGAGCTTCCAGGCTTATGAATTAATTTATAATTAAACCTTGACAAGTACATTGCGTAGCGGGCCTGTCTTCGGTTTAGGTCTCAGGCTGTCATAAAGTACTCCAGGTTCTTATGATCAGTCCAAGTTTTGAATTGGTGCCTAGCACCTTCTAAGTAGTGCCGCCAGTGCTCTAAAGCTCTAATGGTGGCTAGCATCTCTTTGTTGTAAATTTGATAGTTGCGCTCTGTAGGCGACAAACTATGTGATAAATAGGCACAAGGCCTCCAAAGATCGTCAGGGCATTTAATTGACAGAACAGCCCCAGTAGCAAAATCAGAAGAGTCGGTTTCTAGCCGGAACTCCTTGTCTAATTCTGGAAATGCTAATATGGGCGCTGTTGTAAATGCCTGTTTAAGCTTATCAAAAGCTTTTTGTTCCTTGGTGCCCCAATGCCAAACAATGTCCTTTTTAGTGAGATCGTTCAACGGTCTCGTGATTTTTGCGAAGTTTTCAATAAATCTTCGGTAGAAGTTACCTAAGCCAATGAAGGCCCTAACTCCTTTGACGCGAGTAGGTTTTGGCCAGTCCAAGATAGCTTGAACTTTCTCAGGATCCATCCTGATTCTGTTCTGATCAATTATCATACCGAGGAAGTCTACTTCCTTCACTTTAAAATTACATTTTTTGAGTTTGACGAATAGGTCCCGTTCCTGTAAGCGTCAAAGGACTTTTTGCACGATCCTGTCATGCTCAGCCTCATTGTCCTACTTCGTAAATATTAACAGATTGTCAATGTAGATGACGACACAGTTTTCCATATCCGCAAAAATCTTATTCATCATGCTCTGGAAGGTCGCCGGTGAATTGGTCAACCCAAAGAACATAACAAGGGGCTCAAAGGATCCTCGGTGGCACGTGAATGCAGCTGTACATTATTGTACCCCCATCTGAGATCCATTTTTGTCAAGATCTTGGCACCAGCCAACTTGTCTACTAGCTGACTGATCAAGGGCAGCGGATACACATTTTTAACCGTGTGCTCATTCACGTAATGATAGTCCATAATCATGCGCTTCTTACCATCCTTTTTAGGAATGAAGAACACCGGGGATGTCATAGGGCTTTTGGAAGGTCTGATGTAACCCTTCCTAAGCTGTTCGTCTATGAAACTTGATACCTCTTCTCTTTCTGGAGCAGAGAGCGGTATCATGTGTCCTTTCCTTGGTTTGAAGGTGTCGTTCAAATCTATAGCATGGTCCCAAGGCTTAGCCTCTGGGAAGCGCTCTGACTTATGTTTAGAAAAGACTTTCCAGAAGTCATGATACTCGGGAGGTACCAGCCTCTTAATCTCTTCTTCGGGTTTTACTTCATCATCGTCATCGTCGATCTTTTCTAAAGATCTGAGCTCGTAAATGCGACCAGCGTTTATTTTTTCAAGACGCTCATTGTGACAGACGTGATTTGGCTTACCCAAGTTTACACATTCCTGAGGGCAATGTGACAATGTGACAACCCCTGTCTGCCAGTCAATCTCAGGATTGTGTTTAAATAGCCAGGTCCAGCCTAAGATTAAATTAATCTTCCCTAGTTGGGTAGCTTCGGCGGTGACTCGTTCTTGGTGTCCTTGGTACTCGACAACAAAAGAACATTTGTGTGTGATACAGCCACCCACATTAAGTGTACTGTCAATGTTATAGATGGGAATAGATACATATAATTTTACAAGGGGAAGTCCAATTTGCTCCGCCCAGACCTGATCTATGAAGATTCTGTTAGCGCCTGAATCAAGCAGTGCGCTGGTTGGGTGTACTATGCCCTGGGCAAGGTTTTCCACACCAACGTCTAAACGGATCTCCTTTTGGAATAAATACGTGCACATCAACACACGCCTTGGGATTTCATTGGGAAGTGGCTCCGAAGAAGAAGAATCTACTATATTTTTATTTTTAGTTTTACAAGAATCAATCACCCTAGTGTTTGTCTTGCCGGGGCCACGCTCCAAAGGAGACGCTGGTACAGCGGTGGTATTGTAAGTATTGTCAGTGTTAACTCTTTCATTGTCTTGACCCACAGAATCAGCGCTCAAAGCAGCTATATCGTCCGGAGGGTCCAAGGCAAATCCACAGTCACAGCGTTGCATACAAGTACATACTTCAGATAACAAATTCTAGAATCTATTTACAAATTGGGGAGCCACCCCCTTCTTTCCGTTATTGCTCGTGCAACACCCCGGATCAGGGGCCATCTTGTTGTGGTTTACTTCATTGTTTCGGGGAGTGAAGGCACCCAAGTGACCTACGCTCCGAATTATTTTCCCTGGGCCTTCATTTCAGCAATCTGCTGGTTGTAAAAGAACGCCCGGATTTTGTCGTAAGAACAACTGGCCGGAGTACTGAGCCGATCTTCCGGTTTCTCGGTTTCTAATTGGCGCGCCTGGTGCCCTTGGTTATTTTTTTGGTGAGCGGCCTGTACTCTGTTTGGACACTTTCTGGCTATGTGCCCCTCCTGCCCACAGTTGTAGCAGTTGAATCCGCACCTCTGTCCGCCCTGGACCACGCCAATATCTATAAAAGCACCCTGCCCTGGTTGCAACCCGAATGGTTGGAACCCGTGAGAGTGGTTTTTATTTTGGTTTGATGACCCAGGGCTCCTCTGGGAATAGTTGTTTTTGGTGGTGGTCCCACCACCTTGATGCATTTTGTAGAGCTCTATGGCCCTACCTATTTTTCGAATCTCTTCTGCTGCATCTGAGAGTTTGTCCTGCCTCATATCTTGCAGGTAGAGTTGTTCTGCAATGTGGGGGTTCACATTGCGTTCCAGTAACTCTATTACATGTTCATTACCTAAACCCCCTTGGATGGAGAGGGCCAGGAACCGGGTTATGTAATTGTCTATCCTCATATTTCCTTGTTTGAAGGAACAGATTTGTTGGCGAGCCCAGTCATGCTCAGCCTGTGGTTTAAAATATTTTTTGATCTCTACTTTGAGATCGTCCCAGGCAGGCCACACACCCACAGTGTAGCACTCCTGTAATCTAACTTGGGCATATTGACCCGCCACAGGTCCTTTTAGTCGAGATAGTACTGCTGTTGCTACCTCAAAGTCATTGGCGAATGCATCCCAGTTTGCCTTTATCCAAATCTGGAGCTTAATCCACCATTCAGAAAATCGAGCCCGATCTCCTTTGAAAGCGCCGGGGTCAGCGACGATTTTGACTTTCTTGTTAAACTTTTTCTCTACCGAGGGTGCTGCTGCAGGAGGGGCTGCCTGTAGCTCGGTGAGTTGTGTTGTTAACGCCAAGATCTGTGCACGCATGTTGTGCAACAGAGCGTTGACATCTGTTTGACATTGTAATGACATATTGACTTGTTCTCTTTGTAACGTAAAAAAAAGGTAACTGGGGGTCCCCGCTTGCTATCTGCGGATCTACCTCTTCCCAGCTGAGTATCGGATCTCAATCTCCGACTACCCACACTATAGTATTTGAAAGTGTATATAAAAAGTATTCGTAATAAACCCTGGTCCGAACGGTTGTCAGGGGGTGGCCTGCTTGTTAAGCTGTCAGCCCTTCTCCAGACTGGCGGAGGCAAGTGCCTGGCCTGGTCAGAGGAAAGAGAAAGAGAAGATTCATATGTAAATTTCTAATCAACAGTGGTTTCACACCAACTGCTGAGCTAAGTACTCCCCTTCATGCTGGGGGCCACATATCAAGGAGTTGCCTCTTCTCCCAAAGCACTACAAGGCCGTCGCTAGGAGCGCACCTATCTGCTATGCGGGAAATTCCCAAACAATAACACTATCCCCTTAACCCTGGGTCTGGGTTTGCACAATGTGCAAGAGAGTAGAAGAGAGCGAGTCCTAATGTAACACCCAAGAGTTAGTTACTCTGGCGCACACTAAGACACACTATAAGGGTAGTGATGAGGGAGTGGTTACCCCTTAGGCTGCAGTGAGTTAGTTGGTATTCAACAGGAGGACTCGCTGAGGAGTCTCCTTGATCTATTGGGGTATTTATACTAATACAGAGTGTTTGTACTTATATACTGTACAGTTGATAAAAGCAGTGGCTTGATGATGTCAGAGGGTGCAGCCCGTGTGACCAGCTCCACTGCATGAGAGACTTGTAGCTAAAATCTATAATGAAGGGGACAGTGGTCCCAAATGCTGCGTGCAAGCCACATTGCATCGGTTATTTCGCTTAGTTTTGCTCGCGTGGTTTTTGTGGCAACACAGGAGCAGCAGTAGTAGTGAACACAGTGAAAATTGTAGCCACACTGAAGAATTCTTACGCTTATAAGAACATTCAACAATTTGTAGTGAAAATCATAGCCATGTTGAAAATTCTCGCACTTAATCGTTTTTACTACAAAACACGATATAGTGGACACCAAAACTCATGCCTGTGGCACGACATGACACAACTCAATCAAACAAACCTCTTTTTCTACTATGTGGGGAAGTGGTCTGGCCCTACACACAAAACAAATTGTTGTCGAGAATTTGCACATTTTGCATTACAAAAATTAACAGCCATTATTGACCACACTGTGATGTGCATAAAAATAAAATCAAAGACCCTTCCCCACACATAAAAACACAGCTTACACAATGTGAGTTTATAACAGTTTATGGTGTTGATTCAATTGAAACTGACACATTGATTACAGAAGCCCAAATTATCAACAAATCAGTGAATATAGCAAATACATAAATATGAATATGAGCAATTCAAATATGCAGTATGTGTAGTATTGTTAATGTGTCATTAACCATATATTGATGTGATTTGTAGACATATTCCACAGACACCTGAACGAACGTGGTGAACATCGCGATAGAGATCGTATACAACGTCATCAACAGATGACATCACCAAGTGTGCGGTGGGAGCACCTCTTGGATTGTAGAGATTTGAGAAATATCAATATTGTGCAACCAAATTTTGGAGGACCTTTGCATGATAATCACATGCCACAGCCATTAGCTGTACCTCCATACCCTCAATTGCAGCCCCCTTTTCAAATGCAGCAGGGTAACCAGTTGCTTGCTACCCATAGTGTTGACTACAATAAAAGGCTATTAGATGGGTTTCAAAACCAACATGCAGAACGGGGTAATCAACGGTGTAATAGACTACGGAGGCAGGAGCAGGCAGAGGATCAGATGATTCAACACCAGGAAGCAATACAGCTCCAAAGGCAGGAACAGCAGTTGGCTGAGGATCACCAGGAAAGAGAAATTGAGTGTCAGGAGGTAATTAGACTACAGGTACAGCAGCATTCTCAGCATGCTGATCTGCATTATGAAGAGCTACAAGCTCAGCAACTCATTAGAATTTAAAGAGCTGCTCAAGAAGAGCTTGAAAGGAGGAAAGATGAGCTAGCAGATCAGGCTCACAGGGATGCCAGGGATGCTGTAGACCGAGGCGAGGACTTAAATGAACCGGTAGCTGCCAGAAATGCACCAAGGATGCCAAGGCCTCAACAACTTGCAAACAAACAAAATATTACCAACTGCCGCCAAGCATAGGTAATACGCCAGGAGGCCCAACAACCATATGTAGAGCCTCTTTACTGCCATACTTTATGCAACATAGAAGTAGAGTGCCATAATTGTGGAGTGTTACACTGGGATACCGAGAGACTCACAAGTTCCTCCAGGATCCATCCAAAATTTGGTGTGTGCTGCCTTCAAGGTCAAGTTAGGCTGGATCCTTTCCAGGAAGCACCTGCTGCACTATGCCATCTGTTCCGTGGGGTTGACATTACTGCATGTGAATTCCACGACAAAGTTTGCTCATACAACAATGCCTTTGCATTTACATCTTTGGGTGTCAAGATAGACCATGCTGTCACAAGTGCTGCAGGACCTTATAGTTTCCGTATCCATGGAGGCCTTCATCATAGCATCAGCACATTCCATCCACCTGAAGGTGAAACTCCCTCTTTTGGCCAGCTTTACATTCACGACCCACAGACCACCCTTTTTTTTTATGTAATGAGAATAATTGGGGGCATGGCACTACACCAGCAACCATGCTGGAGATCCAGGATACCCTGGAGCAATTCAATTCATTCATCCCTTTGTACAAGCAAGCTTATCAGATCATCATGGAAAAGCCTGAAGCAGAACGTGCCAACATAACAGCCCATATAGCTCTTGATCAAACTCTGGACCAACATCGTTATAATCCTCCTACTGCAGATGAAGTTGCTGCTGTTATCCCTGGAGATGGAGAACAAGATGTTGATGAGCACCGTGATATTGTTTTGCGGCTGAAGCAATTTGATCATGGTGGTGGTCTCAAGCATATCAGCCATTTGCACCCCCTTTATTCACCTCTGCATTATGTCCTCCTATTTCCCTTTCGAGAACAAGGGTGGCATAGGACAATACGGTCCATTCAAAATGCTGATGGAAATATACGCAGTGAATATGTCTCCCAGTGGTGTTATTATGCATACCGTCTCCATCCCCGAAGAACCAATCAATCTAATCTCTTATATGGTGGAAAGCTACTTCAGGAGTATTGTGTTGATGCATGGGCTTCCACAGAAAAAAGTGAATTGAAGTGGGTCCGTCATCATAAAAAAGGCATAAGGGCAGATCTTTACCAAGGCGTTAAAGATGCTATGGATTGAAATGATGGGGAAATGGATTTGGGTCAACAGGGCCAGAACATTGTCCTACCATCTTCTCATTCTGGTAGTACATGGCACATGTACCAGTTCTTCCAGGACTCTATGGCTATATGTCTCCACTGCCGTAAACCCAATATTTTCCTTACAATAACAGCAAACACCAACTGGCCTGAAATTCAAGAGGCTTTGCTGGAATACAACAATGCCAGTGAAGTAGATAATGACCCCGATATGCCTACAAGAAAACAGACCGTTCTGACATTGTTGCACGTGTCTTCTATCAGAAAAAGAAGGCACTGTTGAAGGAAGTCAAAGATGGGATCTTTGGACAGACTTTGGGATCTGTTTACACTGTGGAATACCAAAAGCGGGGTTTGCCACACATGCATCTTCTCATGTCCTTGGAAGATCAAGATAAAATCTGTGATGCCTCCCAGGTTGACTCTGTTGTCTCTGCTCAAATTCCTGATCCTGTCACACAACCAAAGTTATATTCAACAGTCACAAAGTGTATGATGCATGGTCTGTGTGAACCTGAGCACCCTGGTGTAACAACCAAGAGTTAGTTACTCTGGCGCACACAGGAACACACTATAAAGGTAGTGGAAGACGGGGAGTGGGTACCCCTTGGGCTGCAGTGAGTTAGTTGGTATACAACAGGAGGACTCGCTGAGGAGTCTCCTGGATCTATTGGGGTATATATACTACTACAGGTTTGTTTGTACATGTGTACTATACAGTTGATGAAGGCAGTGGCTGATGATGTCATAGGGCCTAGCCCGTATGGCCAGCTCCACTGCGTGAGAGAGTTAAGTCTAAAAGTAAAAGAAAGGCAACGCGGCGCGAGAAAGGGAAATGCCGCGTGGCACTTAAAGTATAAAGTTAAAGCGGAGGATAAAAGGAAAGGAGATGTCCGGAAATTGTGTTATCGTAACACTACCCCCCTTCTAAGGCTCGACTTCCAGGCGAGACCAAATTCCGGAGGTAGTGGTAAAATTTTCGGGCATAGGTTGAAAGAGGGAATTAAAAAGGTTTGAATCCATGCCTCTAAGCTTCCTGGGAGCTGAGGGATTCCTAGAATAAAATTCGCGAACAGCGTCGCGGGAGTTTTCCAGATGGGATTCTGGTTCCCACGTTCTGTCCTCGTCTCCGTAGCCCTTCCATAGGACCAGGAACTCTAATTTTCCACGCTTCAAGCGTGCATCTACCACCCGTTCGACTTCAAACTCTTCTTCACCTTCCTGGGTGACTACTACCGGACCGGGCCGGTCTACGCGCTGTCCCGGCAGCGGTCCCTTGTAGGGTTTCACACGGCTAATGTTAACCGTGGGTACCACCCTCATTCGTTTTGGGAGTTCCAGCTCCACCGCATTAGGCTTGACTTCCTTAATCCGGTAAGGGCCAATCCACTTTTCGGTCAGTTTTCTAGACTGCCGGTCTTTTAATTTTAAGTGGTCGGTATCTAACCAGACCAGGTCGCCGACCTTGTAGTCAGGGGCCTTAGAGCGTCTACGCTCTGCCCTGTCTTTCATCTGCTCTGCAGTTCTAAATAGCGCCTTGCGCGTTTCGTCCAAGACAGACTTCATGTCTTTTGCCATGTTCTCAGCAGCCTCGTTTTTGCTCTTGCCAGGTTCTACACCCATTCTGGGGAGGTACGATCTAGTAACCTCGAAT